GGGGTTCAGAGGGATTTCAGAGTGGGCATGTTGACTGCCGGTGATAAGTGGTGCAGGCAGGAGCCTGGGAGATGGCTCTCCCGGCTTCCTCCCAGGCCCTGGACGTGCGCTGCATCTCCAGAAGCGGTCTTGCACCTTCACCTGATATATCCATCACAATTTCCTCTTCGGTTATGGGTAGGGATCCCAGTGTGGCTATAGTGACTAATGCTTAGCTGAATCAAATTAGCCATGGGGCCTGGAGTTTGAACCTGGCTGGGTGGGATGACCTTTTGAACCACACAGATGGCTTGTTTTCTTGGTACCAGGATCATATCACGGAGCAGGGAGGGACTGTGTCCCTGGGGACAGAATTGCTGTCAGAGCCTCTGGTGTGAGGAGAGACGAGGAGGCCCTGCAGCCACGGCAGTATTATACACGGATCACAGAATGCCAGCCTTATCTTCGGATGCTCTGATTTTGCCCGTGCTGTTGTTTCACAAGCTAGGATGTTGCTCCCGGTCGCCAAGGCTGGGTGTATAGCTCATGCCAAAGCAATCCTCTTTTGTATAGCCAGAGGCCCTTGGCAGGCTGATAGGAAGCTCCAGTGTTAGGGCAGGGAACTCACAGTGAAGTAACAGGAAGAAAAAGAGCTGGGGCAGGCTCAGGCATGGGGGAGGCCGGGGTGTGTTGGAGACGCGGGGCGAGAACTAGCTGGATGTTGAGGTGTTGGTCCTGCTGAGTGGCTGTGCAGCCAAATAGGCTGGGAGGATGGCACTGAAGAAGCAGTCCACCATTTTGTCAGTGGTGTTGAATCCAGAGGTACCACAAGAGTGTTACCTGCAGAAAATGGTTGAAAGGCGAGTTGCCGAGGTCTCCCCGTAAATGGCGTGAAAAAGAGTGCGTGGGCTAGGCAAGAGCAATGCAGCTTAATCCTGGCAACTGCGGTTTAGAGGGACTTGTGACATGGTCTGGAGACATGTTTGAGGGTCATGCCTCAGGGCGAGGGATGCTTTTGGCAACTAGTGGGTAAAGCCAAAGATGCTACCAAATGTCCCTCAGTACACCAGAATGCCTCGGCCACGAGGAACCATGTTGTTCTAAGTGACCTTAGTCCCGAGGTCCAGAAACCCTGAGCTGGGAAGTTTGGATGGTGGGGCAGGTTTTAAACAGTGTTGTCTGCACCCAAACTTCTCATGGGTCCTGGATCCTTGGAGAAGAGAAGGAGGGTCTTAGTGGGTCTGAGTGTGTATATGTGTGTGGTGTATGTGTTCATATGTGTTTGAGTGTGTGCTGTATGCGCGTGTATGTGTTTGGTGTGTACATGTGTGGTGGCCAGAGGCTGATGTTAGATGTCTTCCATATATATGTGTGTGTGTATGTATATATGTATATAATGATTGGTATATAATTATATTATTTTATTTTTGAGATGGAGTCTCTCACTGAACCCGGATCTCACTGATTTGGTGAGACTAGCCGACTGGCAAGCCCAAGTGATCCTCCTGTCCCTTCCTTCCCAGCAGTCAGTCACAGGAGTATGCCACCACAGCTGGCATTTGATGTGGGTGCCGGGCATCCAGACTCAGGTCCTCACGCTTTATGGTAAGCACGCCACCCACTGCACGTCTCTTCAGATTCGTGTATGCTGAAGTTAAGCACCATGCGGCCAAAGACCATGGTTACAGGCCTCCTGGTAACATTAAGTCTGTGGAGCCATTAAACTCTTGGCATAGCCCCGTTCTTTTTATTATTACATTTCATTTACTTTGTGTGTGTGTGTGTGTGTGTGTCTGCACTGTCTGCACTGTCTGCACCCACCAAGCCACCCTACCCACTCCTATATTCTCATATTTGCCTGTTGTTATTATATTTTTCCTATCTTTTAAACTTGAAATGTGCCCAATACAAAATGTATTTGAGGGAGTTATGTTTTTATATCTTCTTTCTTTTAATGTTAAGAAGATTAGTAAAACTAAAACTTAATTTAATTTTGTAATTATGAAAACATTCTTAATTCAATGTTTACTAAGTAGGAGGTATTTGTCAGAGAGCCAAAGGGAATTTAAAAATTGGTGGAATTAATTTTAAAAAATTAAGCTATTATATCATCGTGTATGTGTGTGTCTGTGTGTGTGCGCTCATGAGTGTGTATGTATGTGTGTGTGTTTATGGGAGATAATGTAGTGCATTTTACTTCTTTTTTTTTTTTGAGTCAGGGTCTCTATATCTGAGGTTGGTTTTGAATTCTCAAGTCTCCCACCTCAGCTAGGGTCACAGTCCTGCATCACCACACCTGGCTGCAGCTAGGGTCACAGGCCTGTATCACCACACCTGGCCGCAACTAGGGTCACAGGTCTGTATTTCCGCACCTGGCTGCAGCTAGGGTCACAGTCCTGCATCACCATACCTGGCTGCAGCTAGGGTCACAGGCCTGCATCACCACACCTGGCCGCAACTAGGGTCACAGGTCTGTATTTCCGCACCTGGCTGCAGCTAGGGTCACAGGCCTGCATCACCACACCTGGCTGCAGTTAATTATTATTATTTGCTTCCTTTTCTAAAAATTAAAAAGAAAGATTTATCTATTTTATAGCATGTGCATGAGTGTTTTGCCTATGTGTATGTATGTGCACTGCATTCATGCTTGGTGCCCATAGAGGGCAGAAGAGAGTGTTCGGAAGTAGGGATGCTGAGAACCAGGATCCTCTGCAAGAGAAGCTGGTGTTCTTAGCCACTGAGCCATCTCAGTGGCCCCCAGATTTGTTTGCTTCTAAGTACACGCTGACTGCTCCTGGTCTACTTCCCCGTCAATGCTCTACGTTAAACTGACAAGAACCTGGTCTGTGCCCACCTCTGAGAGAGCTGTGGAGGCTCTTGAGCCAGAGCTGAGTGTCAGAAGGATCCCTCTGAGCCCTGTGGGTGCAGACAGGGCTGGGGTGGAGATGGTCAGGTGCCTGACCAGAGGAGAGGGAGTGGGAGGGACAGTGGACAGGAGGAACAGCCCGACCTCAAGCCGTGGGGGCTGAGGAAGAGGTGGAGTCCAGGAAAAACCCCTTTCTGGTTTGAGTGGGCGGATAATTTAAAATTGTTAAGAAAGGGGAAAAAGTCCGTCTCCAGCTTGCTTTGATAGTCAAGTTGTCTCGGGATTTTTGTTTTTCAGAATTTCATTGAAAATGGAGAAGTCTGAACATGCCAGGTTAGGACATTTCTCACTGATGTAAATTTTAGATGAAAATACCCTTGATACTTTTGGTCAAAGTCAATTTTGCTTATTTCTTGTCTCTGGGAAGCTTCTGCTTGGTCTCAGGGGTGGCTAGAAGACTTGATGGTGTGTCCCCAGGAGTGAGGCTGCTCTTGCTGCTGGCCTGGTATAGCATACTGCAGCCCACAAGCTTCTGTCCTCCGCTTGACAGAGTCGCTGTTTTAAGATGGTCTTTGTCTTCACACACAGGTAGATGTGAACATGGTGTGTGTCCATTCCAAAGCAAGAGTGCTAGGCAAGGTGCCTCAGGGTCTAACCTGTGGTTCCTGCAGTTCTGCAGACAGGCATGTGTCCCGAATGCCGTTCTTCTCCTACTGCGGAGGGAGGCAGTCAGCCTAGGGAGGAGTCTCAGGCCTGCTGGGATTATAGGGACCAGTTTGTTAGTTACGTATATAAATTACCAATTCAAATTATATTCGGTTTTGTATTTGACCCATCTAAATAACCATCTTTGGAACTTTGGCAGAAATTTGTGTGCTGTCTTGGGCAAGTTGTTTTCTCAGAAGGAGCCTCAGTTTCTTTATTATGATGTCACAGAGCGAGGCTTTGGGAAGCCCCTTGGCAAGCAACAGTTTGAGTTCCAACACCGCGGTTCTGTTTTCGTTGGTCCTTATTCACACAGTTTTGCTCTTGAGACTGGGTCTCACCCCTGAGACAGTCATCCTGCCCCAGCTTCTGTTAGATCAGAGGCCCGAGATACTACACTTGATGGCGCCAAAGCGGGAAAACTCTGCAGCTCCGTTCACTTTATAAGGCCTGTGTGGAGCCCCAGCGTGCTTATGTAGCTTTGCAAAAGTTGGACGCCCTACATCCTTTGTATTATTTCAAATGTCCCCCACTCCGACCTCTGCTGATTCACAGGTCTCCCTTCAGGATAGGGTGGGGATTCCACTGTCTCCTGGAGTCAGGGGAATAAGTTCACTTTGCATTGCTTGGGGAAGGTCGCAGCTGGGCTTCGGCCTCTTGGCTGAGGAGTACTAAGACATTTGTTCCCTTTTTTGAAACCCTTTATTTTGTGGTATAATTTATATGCACTAAAATGCACCATTTTTGATTTTGAGAGTGCTTTCTGGGAGTCACTACTATAATTACCCTTTAGACGTGTCCATCACCTTAAAGGGCCCTCTTGTTGGCTTGGTGGTTTCCATAGCGATTTGTAGACTGCTTGGTGGTTCCCACGTAGATGATCCGTGTCTTTTCCAGACACCAGGTTTGACTCCTTCCTTTCAATCTGTTTGCCCTTTCTCTTTCCCTCTTGCTGCCCTGAGTTTCTGTGTTTGGGGAGTGGGGGGTCTGTCTTGCCCCTGCCTTGGTTCTGTCTTCACTGCTCTCCTTTGCTGCAGGGCTCTTTGTGGCTGTAACTCAGTGGTTTCCCTTTCCTTGCTAGAGGGCCGAGGTGCTGTCATGAATGGGCGTTCCGTTTGTCAGATGTTTCTTTTGCACCAGCTGAGCTGACCATATGGTTTTCCCTTTTTAGCTTGTTAGTGTGGCGAGCTCCATTTCTAGAAGCTGCCGACTCTGTGGAAGCCTCATACATAGGGCAGGCTCAGAGTCTGTGGTTGTCGTGTTGGTGCCTGGGGATTCTTGAGCCGCGTAGCCCATTCGGAGTTACTGGCATCAGCTGTGGCACGGGAATGCTCACTTGTGGGGGTCTGAACTGTTGAATCATGACTGTTGCTGCTTTGTTGTTTCAGTGTGTTATAGGGGAAGTGACGGTGTGTCTGTGTGTAGAGAGAGAGAGACAGACAGACATTAATTATTATCGCAACTCAAGGAGATACATAGCATTTATTTCCTTTATTTTATAAGTGAGGAAACTGAGGCCCTGCCTCTCGGAAGCTCAGAGAATTTCTTTCCCTCCCAACAGTAACTGAGTACCATTCAGGCACCAACCGCTTTGTCTCATGTGAGTGGCACCACAATTCACCAATAGCTGTGTCTTTATTTTAATAGCGCCAACTTTATAGAGGTTCAAGGACCTCCCCCGGGGCTTCAGAGCTGCAGAAGGTCTCCTGTTGCTGGGCTGTCTTCTTGGCTGTGGCCTTGCTGCCACTGGAAGGGTTGCGGGAAGGAACTGAGTCAAGATGAAGAACAAGCCAGGTGGTTTGCTGGCATGATTCAGACGTTTTCAGTGTTAGTCTGCATACTCTCATCGGTATTTATCAGGAAAAAGTGCAAACTCACATTCCAGAGTGAGCTATTATGAGCTCACTTACTATCTTTTAGGACAGCAGCCTTAATTCACTCATATCCCTAAAGGGACTGCCTCCATATCTGGTAATGATACTGCAGAATCTTGGCCGGACCATGTTGATTCTTTGTGTCTGTGGTTGCTTTGAGTGACAGGTGGTTTTCCTGCTGAGTGGTTGTCCAGTTGCTGCCCTGTGCGCCAGGCAATGGGTGATTCTGAGATGCTTGTATGGAGTATGCATACCTGAAAACAAAGTTGATTGATTTAAGTTCATGCTTGTGTGGAAAAATACTGTAGATATCCTATTGGGGATATGCGTATCTTCAAATTAGCTGGCATATAATAGTAAGCATCCACCGTATGTGAGTCACTGTGGAAAGTAGGCAAGGCGGGAGATGGATAGGAGTGGCCGTAGACCATTCAATGTAGACCTCCGAAGATGATCCTGTGGGTAGAAAACAGGTAGAGGGGCAGGGGTTTTGCCACTGGTTGGAAATATGTGAATTTCAAATATGTCTCTGCTATTGGGTAGCTCTGTGCTCCTGGGCCAGGTGCCTCTGTTTGTTTGAATTTTCTCACTGACACAGAGCTGAAGGTCTGTGTGTCCTTCAGAGGCAGCTGGTCAGAGTGTCTCAGAAATGAGACTGGAGGCCCGGGCTCTGTGCTGGAATGACACTTTCATCTTGGCCAGACAGCAGGGTGAGTGGGTGGTATTTGGACGATGGCCTCTTGGGACCACGCACTGGCGGGTCACAGATGGAGATCTGGCCCAGGCCACGGGAGGCACAGACTCGGGGCCTTCTTACTGTCAGCTTTCCTCCCGGCACTTCGGTGCCGACACAGTCGTGTTTGGTGACAGTTTATAGAACAGTGAGCGGCGTTTACAGGAATCTGTGACAATCCGCTTCTGGGGTCACACATTGGGACTCTGGATGCTGCAGACTGTGAATAGAGCCAGCATCCTACAGCGGATGTTCGTTCAGTTGCATGGTGGCGGTCTGGTGTTGGGCAGTGTGTTTCTTGGTTCTCTGAGTCCTGTTTGGAACTCAGGTAAGGGAGAAGAGCTGGTGACCAGACAGGCTACCGTTAGACACAAACTCATCACCTGTGAGTCGTCCTTTCGCCAGGCGAAGCCCAGGAGAGAATCTTCGGCTCATTACCATTTTGATCGCCTTTTCTTTTCGTCTGCTCCAGCTCTTCATATATAGTGGGAATTTGCTCCCTTTGGGCAGCATGATGCTAAGAAGGTGGATTTTGTGTGATGCCGTCCTAGAGGCTGTTAGATTGGTTTGAGACCATTGCCTTTCTTCGCTCTCACCCAGAGACCACAGAGGCTCCTAACAAACAGAGAAGAGCAAGATTTTGTTCTAACAGTGAAGCAGCATCAGAACACGACGGTGTGCATGTAGAAATGTTCCTGCTGAAACCCACTCATTTGTTTGTACAATTAATATGACTGAATAATTGTAGTTTAGAAATTAGCGAAAGAAAAGGAGGCGTCAGTGGTTTGTGCGCCTGCTTCATCTGGGGCTGCCCTGGACGATGGCTGTAATGTTGCAGACGGACCGCGTACAAGGGTTGGCCCCATTGTGTAATGATTGGCCCTCTGGACTCTGGGGATGGTCTAACAGAAGGCTTTGCCCTTGGCGAGCCTTGGAGTTTGGGGTGAGGCACAGATTGTAATCACTGTTGGTGTAAGAACTCAGAGGGCGAGTGTGACTCAATCAGGGAAGTCACTGCTAAAATCCTGTTTGATTTGAAGAAGCAGCTGCTTGCTGTGTGTTATGCAGACGAATTTAATTAAAATACTTCCCAACTCTAGACCGGTAAAAGATCAAAGATGTCAGTGTGTTTTTGCAGGAGAGATCTGGAGCTAAGTTAAAGCTTGTTTAACGTTATTTTACCCAGATTAAGGTGAGACAGAATCCATGTAAGTGGGTCGTCTGGTGTGTATTCTCCGTTCATGGCTTTGTCAATTTGTTTATTCAGGAAGCAGTTTGGGTTATGACCCTAGTCACCCCGAATTCTGAATCTGTGCCTTCTAGTATTCCCAGCCTAGTGTTGAGAAAGAAGTTCAGACAGCAAGTAATGTGGCCAGCTGGTTGAAGGATTTTGGTCTCCTCCACCCTCTCCTACTCCTCCCCGGTCAGAAGCAGGATGTATGCTTTTATGAAGTAATTATATAAACTTTCCTTTGGTGAATTGGTCGAAAATTGCTTTTGTAATAAATCTTTGATACAATTGTAATACACTGAAATTATACATATTGGGGGCCATAATGAATCATTAAAACTAGAATCCATCTGGGTGGTGGTGGCACACACCTTTAATTACAGCACACGGGAGGCAGAGACGGATCTCTGTGAGTTCAAGGCCAGCCTGGTCTATAGAGTGAGTTCCAGGACTGCCAGGGCTGTTACACAAGAGATATCCTGTCTTGAAAAACCAAAAACCAAAGCAAAACAAAACCCGTAGGATCCAGTTAAAATGCCTGCCTTTGCAAGAGTCGGTGGGTGCTAACCTACACAGGGACAGTGGGTTCTGTAAAATCCGCGAATGAAATTCTAGGCTTCCCTGATGGATAGTAGACAGATAATTGGAGAAGGAAACACACACATGCACACTCACACACGCACACACACATGCATGCACACATATGTGTGTATACACATGCATACCCATACACACACCTGCTTGCATGCACATGCACACATGCGCACATGCGCACACACACATGCAGATTGCAGAGCAGTTTGTGACAGTTAATACTCACAAGTGCTTGACACACTCTACACGCCAAATGGAGCTGAGCGTGTAACATGAGGGCCAGCTTGTTGGGGTTTCCATCCCGCCCGGTACCCCAACAAGCCAGCAAGTCCCAAGGAAAATCACACGGAGTCTACATTAGGTTATAAACTGATTGGTCCATTAGGTCAGGCTTCTTGTTAACTCTTATAACATATATTACCCCATTATCCTTATCTATGTTAGCCACATGGGCTCAGTACCTTTCTCAGTGTGACAGCTTACATGTTGCCTCTTCGATGGTCTGTGCAGGAATGGCGGAGGGAGTTTCCTCCTCCCTAGCTTTATCCTATTCTCATTGCCCCGCCTCTACTTCCTGTCTGGTTGACCTGCCTATACTTCCTGCCTGGCCAATCAGCGTTTTATTAAAATACATGATTGACAGAATACAGACAATTCTCTCGCACCATGAGCGTTCTCATGAAGCCCTTCTATAAGAGCCAGGGGTCTTGTTAATTGCTGTGTCAGCTGACAGAATTGCTCACCTGGGTTGTCACAACAGCAGTTGTAGCACAGTGTGAACAGTGCCTGTGACTGCCAGTTACCACCCGGGCAGTGTGTAGGCAGTGGGTTTATAGTCTAAGAATCTGTGACCTTAGGTTGGGTAAGTTTATCCACACCTTTAATCCCAGTGTTTGGAGGCAGAGGCAGGTGGGTCTCTGAATTTCAGAACAGCAAGAGCTGAGGGGGGGGGGGGGGAAGAGGAGAAAGATGGCTGTGTGCGCGCGCGCGCGTGTACACACACATACAACACAGGAAAAACTTTCCCCTAGGCCTTGTAGAAGGAAAGCATCATATAAACAGTGTGGTTGTGTGACTTCTCTGCCAAGAAAAATTATTGTTTTACAGGGTAACCTTATGGTACATTTTACCAGCACTAATTGGACACATACCAGGGTAGGACTGGTTCATGGTTCATGCAGCCTGACGTCAGATGTAAGCATTTTATCTATGGCTCAGGAGGACAAGTCACTAGGCTACCTACTCTGCTACATTGTGGGGAAAACTCTGTGGTGGCTGTTCACGCTAGGCATCTGTGGTGGGTGGGTATCCATGGATGGTAGGTGTCCACAGAGGGTGGGCATCTATGGAGTGTTCATGGATGGTAGGTATTCATGAAGGGTGGCAGTCCACAGAGGGTGGGTATGCACGGAGGGTGAGCGTCCACGACGGGTGGGCATTCATGGATGGTAGGTGTCCACGGAGGGTGAGTGCCAATGGAGGGTGGGCGTCCACAGGGGGTGGGCGTCCACAGAGGGTGGGCGTCCACAGAGGGTGGGCGTCCATGGAGAGGGTGTTGCTGACAGGAGCTGTGCATGCTGGAAGCTGAGCTTTTCCAGGGCTTCCCATCTGAGGAAGACCTGTCATGGCTTTGTTGAACACTGTGTTTTTCCAGATCTGTGGCGTGATTAGTGTGGAGCTGTTGTTGTTGGGCTCTGGAGACACTTGGGGTGACTTTGGGGTCCCTGAAACATGGCCAGCCTGCATAGCTCTGGCCTTATCTGTGCTTCCTCAGGCTATTTACTGCGCTGGGTGTGGAGAGTTCTGTGCAAACAAACCCTAAAGCCATTAGTCATGTATTTATTTCTGGTTGCTTGTCAAAGTGATGGCGGTTTCCCTCTGTAACCTAAACTTAGTTTCCAAGTCTTTTTTTAAAAACGTGTCTTGCTCAAATGTCACTTTGCTTCCCAAGCGGCAGCCTTCTCATTCATTCCTTCAATCTCCAAGTGCCTGCTGGTGGCTGCTGCTGCTGCTGCACTAGCAAACAGAGCCTACGGAGAGCCCTACGCTGTGTTCTCTGCCTTTGTTTCTCCCACCCATACACCTTATGTTACTTGGTCTGTGTCTCTCCACTGCAGTGACACTTGATGCACCCTGTGGGACAGAGCCTCTGCTTCTTCTGCCTCAGAGGCTAACCCCAGGCATGGTGCCTGAGTCGGAACTTGGTTACAATGAGTGTTTTTGCTGTGGTGGTGTTTGGGACTCAGGTGCTAGAGAACAGACACCCCCCCCACCCCACCCCCATCCTGCACTCCTTGCTTGATTGCGTAATCACCAAACTATTAAGACTAAGCCCAGGGAAGACAGATTGTTTTATTTCAGAAGGGCAGAGAGTTGTGCGGCCTGAGATGAGGGAGGAGTCCAATCACACATCAAGAGACCCAGCTGGGGGCCTTGGCTTTGTCCCTGGTAAAGCTGGTTGACTTGGGACAGGTCTTTACATTTACACCCCACTCCCAAAAGGGTAGAATTTTCTAAGATCTCTTCAAAAAGAAATCAGACCAGACTTTTTAAAAAAAATATTTATTTATTTATTATGTGTACAATATTCTTTCTGTGTGCATGCCTGCAGCCCAGAAGAGGGCACCAGACCTCATTACAGATGGTTGTGAGCCACCATGTGGTTGCTGGGAATTGAACTCAGGACCTTTGGAAGAGCAGGCAATGCTCTTAATTGCTGAGCCATCTCTCCAGCCCCAGACCAGACTTTTAAATAAAGATTTATTATTTTTGTTTTATGTGTATGAGTGTTTTGCTTGCGTGTATATAGTGCACCATGTGCATGATTGGTGCTTGCAGAGTCCAGGAGAGTCTGGCGGGTCCCTTAGAACTGGAATTATGGGTGCTTGTAAGTAGCCATGTGATGATGGGTGCTATATCCAGGTCCTCTACGGGAGCAGCGGGTGCTCTTAACTGAGCCATCTCTCCAGCCTCCGTAGTAGACTTAAAAAAAAAATCTCATTTGTCGTTCTCCACCTTATTTTTTGAGACACAGTCTCTTACCTATCCAACCAGACTGACTGCCTAGCGAGCCCTAGATATCTTCCTGTCTCTGCCTCCCCAGCACTGGGATTGCAGGTGTGCATCGTTGTGTCCAGTTTTAACATCAGCAGGGGAGTGTCCTTACGTAAGCGTTTTACTGGACCGTATCTCCAGCCCCCAAAGAGGTGTGCTGCGCAGATCAGGTGGACTTATGCCCTCTTCTATTCGTTCCTTTGTGTGCGCAGTCTCCTCCTGTCTCCAGGATAAAAAGAAATGGGAAGTCTTCAGTTCTGCCTTCAACAAAGCACACTTAAGTCTCTCTGCTTGGTGCTCTCGATCCTGTTTGCCCTCAGATTGCTCAGGCCATCCTCAGTCCTCGTGAGAAGGTAACAGTCTCCCCACAAAGCTGTCTGCCTTGACTCTGTTAGCTCTGGAGTTCTGAGGCACGGTCTGTAGAGACCTAGTGCCGGGGTGGCACTGTGAACTGAGCCTCAGTTAAGGAGACTGGCTTGCCCTTCCCCAGAACGACCTCCATCTTGGGCTGATTTCAGGCCACCAGATGCTTTGGGGAGTCTCAGATGGCGTGCACTCCCCATTTGCTGGGTGGATCAGTTTAGTAATTTGCCCGTCTAGAAGGATATTGGTCTCAAGGCCTCATCACCTAAGGGGTTGTTTTCTGCCACAGCTTAGAGCCTTTGGATTCCAATGTTTTGCAGATGGGCTGGTGGCTTCTGTCAGAATAGCCAGCATGATCCGGCCGAAGGCACATGGATGCTCAACACAGCAGTGTGGGTGTCTGAACTTAAAGGGTCCTCTCGTCCCATATTCCCCACTCTGAACTTGAGGATGCTAATAAGTCATCAGTGAAACGAATGTAGCTTGGACAATGCATAGGCCAGTGCCGGGCTCGGAGCTGTTGGCCTGCAGCTGCTGTCTCTTTTAGCTGTGTACATCCTAACAGTTCCCAGCCTCTTCCTCTCTTCTACCCCCACCCCACTCTGATAACCTCTCCATGATGTGTGTCCTCCAAGCTTTTAGTCATAATTATGCCACACTTATCCAGAGGTCAGACTTTTAGCAACCTCTGCCATCTGGAATGCAGCCATGAACCAGACAGGAAAGGCCCATGAGCTCAGCTGCCCCGGTGTCTCACCCTGGCTGATGGGACAATACCCAGCTGACGGCAGGGAGAGGTGGCAGGTGGCGAAGAAGGCAAACACCCCGGAATGGGCTCTTTGTGCACCCCACACTGACATTGAGACCAAACCAGCCACCTTCCACGTGATGAGAATCTTTGATGTTCTTACCCAGCCATTCTGGGAATTGAGAAGGTGTTGAAACCTTCTGCTTTCTACACACACAGAGCACACCGATACACATACAGGCAAAACACCCATAGAAATAAAATAAATCTAAAAAAGAAAGAAAACAGGAGACTATAAAATTGACTTCTCTTGGAATTCCTTTTTTTTTTTTTTGCCCCAGACCCATTAGTGGGGCTGGGGAGATGGGCGATGGGTAAAAGCATTTGGTGTCCAAGCCCGACAACCTGAGTTCAGATCCCCAGAGCCCACCTAAAGAGCTGGACATAGCAGAAAGCATCTGTAATCTCAGCACCGCTGTGTGAGATGGGGGTGGGCAGGAGAGAGCTGCTCTGGAGTTCCGGGCCGGCTAGCCTGGAGTGTGCAGTGATACAGACGTGGCAGAAACAGTGAGAGAGACCGTGCCTCCAGAGGGTGGAAGAGGAAAATCAACCCCCCAAAGGTGACCCCAAAGAGGTCACATGTCCTCTGACCTCCACATGTGTGTCCCCGCAACCCCCGAAAATCTCTCGGTATTTTGCTGTCACTTCATGGGATATTTAATGTCTGTGAAACTTTCCCGTGGTTGAGTATGGGCAAACGTACCAGGATATGGGAGAAAGGCGGGTGTGAGGGTCACTTACCCCTGCCGTCGCTGGTTAGTGCGCCACCGGACGCCAGCCCCTGAGGCGTTGGCTTCTCCATCTGTGCATCCTTGTCTGCTCCTCTCCCAGGGTTGCTCTCTGAGGTGCAAGCCTCTCTGGTGTGGGAATCCTTTCCATCCCTCCTGCTTGCCCTGCCCACCCCTTCCACTCATGTCTCCTGGTCAGATACTTGGTAAATTTTCTTAGTTTGGACTTGTAGATTGAACGCTGCATTGAGTGGAGTCGAGCTGGCTTTCGTGTTCTGTCACATAGACTTCTCCAGGCTCCTGAATCTGCATGGACATTCTCTGTGTTAAAGAATGTAAGTTTCACCCATCCACAGCATCTTAAAAGCCTAGAGTTTTAGGTTTCTGGGTGATTTAACTTTTGTATCCACATAAACAGATTGCATATTTTGGACCTGTATAAGGGCTAAGAGGTTGTCACTTGGTCAAGGTCATACTTGTGAACCCAGGCTGGCCCTCAGGGTTGGGGACTGCTTTGCTAGAGGGTCTTTCTTTGCTTTGTCACCAGAACAAATGCTG